GTCACCATGGCCGCTCAGGCCACCCAAGAACCTCACGCAGGGAGAGGCTGGGGGCGGGAAACAACGCAGCCCCCTGGGCCCACTGGACGCCCCTCCCACCCCTGGCCAGGCCGGCCAGGCCCTTCCCGGGCTGCACCGAGCTGAGGCACCACTCAGGGAAAGGGAAGAATTTACTGTCGTTGCCACAGGCGAACCGCGAACACCCACACGACGAAAGGCCACCAAGATACATACGTACACTGTGCGAAAAGTGAGCGGCAGGACCGTGTGTGTCGATGTGGCCTTTCACGTAAAACCAAAAATAATTTTAAACACAAACACGTTGGATTTTTTTCCCAGAATACAAATAATTACTAACAGCGCTTGGGAGAAAACCTAGCAGGGAAGAAAGGGCAGGGGCAGTTTCTGCCTTTCTGTGATAATTCTGTTTTCTGGCCTTGCTTTGTATTCCTTAGGGTTCTTTTTTCACGTCACCCAGAGCGACCTAGCCAAAGAAATGAGGGCCGTTTCTTGCTCTCTGTACCTAAAAATAACCTGCACAACCATGTGCTACAGCTTTTCCAAAATACCAGCGTGGTGACCGACCCCCGGGGCAGCTGAACTTCCAGCGCAGCCGGGGGCGGCAGGAGGGCCGCGCTCCGTGGGGCAGGCCGGCCGTCACACAGGAGGAGTCAGGCGAGCCGGGACGGGGCCCCTGAGAGGGCCGGGCGGCCAGGCACTCGCCCCACCTCCAGAGCTAGATGCGACAACAACTCCCGTACGCTCTTCCCCAGGTCAAGGTGCCGGACGGTTAGGGGCGACCTCGTTCACAACGCAGACCCAGCACTCAAGACGGGGTGGCGGCGTGAGTGTCTGTGACACGGAAGGCCACGCTCCGGCGGAAATCCGGGGGCCGCTCACCCAGCCAGCTCGACCTGCTGTCCCCAGAGGGGCCGGGCGCGGCCTCATGCCTCGCTCCCCCCCCCCCCCCCCCCCCCCCCCCCCCCCCCCCGCGCCAGGCCTGCACTCGCAGGGCGGAAGAGGCTCACAGAACCTGCTTCCTCCTAGGGGTCTGGGCCGGCCGCAGCTCCTCAGGCCCGTGGGCAAACGGACAGCAGTCCGAAGGCAGAGCGCAGCCGTCAGGGTGGTGGCTGAAAAACCAGCACAGGCGGGTTTTGAAAGCTTCCGAGAAGAGTCTGCGTTTTGCTTCCGGCTGCCGCTGCTTCCGGAGCCTCTCCTCTCTCCAGTCGCGAAGGTGAACTCGCCCGCTCCGAACTGTGGTTCAGGACAGAGAGAGAGACACGGCCCAGGCGTTACCCTCCAAGTCCACCAGCTCGCCGGGACCGGTGCTCACAGAGCCCGACTCTGGGGCGGCGGCGCCCCAGCAGGGAGGAGACCAGGCGTGGAGATGGCGAGCCAGGCCGCAGCCCCGCCCGACACCAGCAATGCGGCCTACAGGGGAGCACTGGAGGCAGAGCCCAGCAGGGAGGTGTGAGGAGGCGGCCGAGGGAACAGGCAAGGAGCGAGGTGGAGGTATGCCAGGGCGAGGGCACCTGCAGGGACCAGGGTCAGGGGTCAGGAGCCGTCAGGAGGCATGAGCTGCTCACCGGGGGCAGGGGTCACCGGGGGCAGGGGTGAAGGGGCATAGGGAAGCTGAGGGTCTGCTGCTGACAAGACCCAGGACGTGACCACAGGGGCAAGCGGCGGGGACGGCAGCAGGATGGGCCTGTGGGAAAGGAGGCGGAGCACTGGGAGCCCGCAGAGTGAGAGCGGAAGTTGGGGAACTACGCTGCCATCTGTCCCGGAGAACCTCACCGCTGCGCGCGAGAGAAAACAAGCAAGGTCCTTTCTGGGCAGGCGAAGAGGAGGGTTTGCTGGTGCCCCCATAACCGGAGCCCCCAAACACAAACAGCGGGTCGGGGAACAGCGGGTGGGGGACAGCGGCCGCGTCAGCAGGGATTCAGAGGCCGGCCTGGAACGCGGGGGGACAAGGCCCCAGCAGCTGACCGGGCCCCGCACCGAGCTGCCTCCCGAGCCGGTCAGCACCACTCGGGCCGAGACTCCCCACAGGCTTTCAAGGGGCCTTTCTCCCCCAGACGCCGGCAACTCCACAGAAACACGGCCAAAGCCACTCACTGCATCCTGGTTTTCTTGGAAGCTGTGAGACCACTGGAGACAGAAAGGCTCAGGGAGAAATAAAAGAAGCCTACTGAATAAACCTGGCTCTCCAACCGCTAATGAGACCGTGAGAGCACAAATTAAAGCTCGGATTTGCTTTCAAATCACCTCGTGTGATTGCAACATGTCCTCACAGACTGCCGTGTATGAACCATTTGCCCTTAAAGCAGAGAAAGGGCTGTGGAGAGGCGCCTGTGTACGGAGGGGCTCACTGGAGGGACTCCTCGTTGCGGGCAGCCAAGGGCACCTACTCCGGGCCTGTCACAACTGTCCCCCTCCTCGGAGCCGGCCTCCTGCCTGCTCCCCACAAGGCTGATGCCTGGGATCGGTCCGGGAGCTCAGGTCAGGGAAACGTCACTGGGATCCGCTGAATGCTCCCACAGCCGAATGCCACGGCCCCAAAGCATGCCCCGAAGGAGCCTTGGAGGCAAGACTCCCACCAGATGCCCGGGGTGTGGACCCCAAAAAGCAAGGAGCCCTTGGCCCGGCCCAAAGGCTCAGATGTGTTCAAGAGAAACCTGGGGGAGAGGGAGGGGCGTGGGCCCCGCCTCCACAGGGGTCCCTCCCCTGAGGACAGGCTGGCTCCCGACAGGCGCTCCACAGTGGTTTGGTGAGTTAAGAGGGCACGCAGCCGCATTTCTGGAGCAGGGTCAGGGGAAGCGGGGGCCCAGCCAGGATTTCTTTCTTTTTTTTTTTTACGTTTATTTATTTTTGAGACAGAGAGAGACAGAGCATGAACGGGAGAGGGGCAGAGAGAGAGGGAGACACAGAGTCAGAAGCAGGCTCCAGGCTCCGAGCCATCAGCCCAGAGCCCGACGCGGGGCTCGAATTCACGGACCGTGAGATTGTGACCTGAGCTGAAGTCAGACACTCAACCGACTGAGCCACCCAGCCGCCCCTTCCCAGCCAGGATTTCTAAGGCCCGAGGAGCGGGCACTGATGACAGAGGATCGGCCCTGGCACAGGAGGGCGACACGCTCCCGCGCACCCCCAGGACACAGGGCGGCTCCCGACACCCCCCTCCCATCCCGGGTCGGCCCGTGCGGGGCACCTGAGGGCGCTCGCGGCCCTGGCTGCACACACGCTCCAGCCAGCCCACGGGTCAGACCACCAGCGGGATTCCCCACATGGAAACACGCCCCCGACGCCACCACGGAACCCCAGGAACAAGGTGCGCTCCACCCAAGCTCACTTATCCAACGTTTGTTTCCTCCCGAAGCTTCGCTTCCTCGGAACCTACTTACTGGTCCACCCCCTCCCGCTCCTGACAAGCAGACGCTGCCGACATCAGAACGCTCCGGGGAACGGGCTGTAGACTGTTCCCAAAACCCCCATGGACGATCTACCGGAGCAGTGCCCTGTGCTCAGGCCCTGATCACACGTGCCTCGGGTGGCCAGTCCAGCCTCAACATTCAAGACTCAGGGCAAGTCCTAGAACTCAGCTGCGGCCACATGTTCAACATGGTCGGCACCGTGAGCACAGGCCACTCAGTTGGTACCACGCCCGTGACACCCCCGGCAGGCCTTCCTGGCCCCTGACCACAGCACGCACCAGGCAGGCCTGGAGGTGGCTTCCTCCCATGGCGCACGGCGCCGGAGGAACTGGGGGCATCCAAAGTGGATCCGACCCCTCAGTCCCATAAACACCACCAGAGACTAGCCACCCTGGCTTAAAACACCCTCAAGAAAATAAGATAAAATAAAACATCCTCAGAGATAAGACTGGCCTCAGTGCATATTTTCGGCATGACTGCAAGCAGAATGTTTACTCAGAGCTCAGCCCCGAAGCCGCCTACTTGGAAGCATTTCCAAAAATAAACGTGCCCCCCGACGTCAACTGCACAGAAAGCGATGGTATGCATGCATATTTATAATGGGAAAAAAAAAGGTACGATTCACGAAGGCAAACAAAACAACGCACTGGGAAAGACAAGAGAGCAGCCCTTCCCGGTTACGATAAGTATTTTAATTGACAAAAGCCTCGTGAAACAGCAGATTCCAGGCCGCTGGCCAGAGCTCAGCTGGAGCAGGAACTGCCAGTTCGGGAAGGGCCGCCCCGCTCCCCGCTTCTCCACCCCCCAGTGGGGCTGCCCGTCCCGGGGCCTCGGCTTTCGCAACCACTCCAAATATGGGGCCTCCAGCACTGCTTACGAGGCCTGATGCCATCGTGAGCATTTCCCCAGCAAGGTCAGGCCCAAACGAAAACAGTCTAGCTCCACAAGGGCAACCAGGCCACCCAAAGGCACTGCAGGGGTGCACACCCGAGCTCTCCCATGCACACGTAGGGGCCGCGAGCACCCCAGCTCTCCTATAGGGACCTCACACACTGGAGCTCTCGCATCACACGTAAGGGGCCGTGCACACCCGAGCTCTCGCATGCACACACACAGGCAGGGAAGAGAAGGTGGCCGTACTCAACTCCCTTAGGCTGGGAGAGGACAGAAGTGCTTCCGTCAGCTGTGGCCACCTGCCCCGAGTCGCCACCTGACCACCCTCCTTGGCAGCAGCACAAAGGTGGGGCTGTGGGGACTGGCCCAGATCCTGGGGCTCAGACAGCTGCCCGCATCCCCCTCGACAAGGCCCGAGGGCCTCCTCTCGTCCTACCTTGAGCTCTGCTCACAATGGCACCGCACGGACTGGGACTCCGGGACGCAACAGTCTGCCCCCAGTCACCACCCCCTGCGAGGAAGGATCGGGTAGGCGTGCCCTCCTCACGGGGCTACCTTCCCTTCTTCATCCTGAGACATGGGCTCCCAGCTGCTTCTCAGGCTACGGAGCAGCCGGGCCCATCCACAGGGAGCTCACGGTCTATCCAGTTGAGGCAGTGAGGTGACCGAACACGGGAGGCCGTGTGACAGAAGCTCACGCAGACTCTGGGAGCCCAGAGAGGCAGGACTGGGTGGGGCGGACGGGCAGCAGTTTAGGGAAGATGCCTGGCTATGGTCCGGAACTATGGCTATGCCACCAGAGAGGCCAGGGCCTGACGTGGGGGCGGGAAGCAAGCAGGCAGCCTTGGCGGGGGAGAAACAGCATCGTGACAGACACACAAGCCGGGGAGCCATGTGGGGGGGCCGGAGGGGGGG